GGGTCACGGGGAGGGAAGTGGCCTCGTGTCTGACCCCTCCCCAGCTGCCGGAGCCTCCGCACTGGGGCCGCCCATCACACGGGGAGTTTTTTTTTCCCCCCCTCTTTTGAAAAAGGAAGCTCGGCCTCGGTGCCTGCCAGCGCTCACAGAGGGTCAGAGACGGGCTGAGTGATTGCAGGGGTGACCTGCAGAGGCCAGGAACGCAGGTAGGAGCTTGCTGACTGCTGCCTGGCTGGTTTTGTTTTCCCCTGGCTTGCTGTTTTCTCCCTGGCTGTAGTTAAACCCCTGCGTGGTGCCGGCAGTGGAGGGGAGTGAGGGGCGTTGCTTGGCAGGCGCTGACGGAGCAGTCATGAGACTCCTCAAGTCCTTTTCGGGCCAGTCTGCCTCAGTGGGGAGGGCAGGATCCATCGGGAATGCTGCTGACTCCTGGAAAACCTCAGGATGGCTCCAGCAGGGTGTGAGAGGAGGCTGCTTCCAGGTGTTTTGGAGGAGCTGACTCTCCCCTTTTCCAGGCTCTGACTGCCTGTAAAAGTGACCAAGGGGAGGGAAGCAGTTCCTGGGCTTTGTCTGCCCAGAGCTGGTGTTGGAGCAGGGCAGCTCCATGTGATCCAGCATTCCTGGTGGGGGAGGAGGAATGGCAGGGCCGTGCCAACAGCCCTGGCAAACCTGGAGCTGTGGGAGCAGGGGGGAAAGGAACTCTGGGGAAGGGAAGGGAGAGCCAGATGTCAACACTCCGGGCAGGCACATCCAGCACATCCAGCTGCCCCTCCTGTGTCCCTGGGAGAAGCTGGAGGTGTGTCTGTGCCCCCTGGCAGGGCTCCCTGCAGGGCTGTGTCATCTGGAGCCCTGGCCAAGGTCCTCTGGTGGGTGACGTGGGCTGTGATCTTGGCTGGCTGGGAGGAGGAGTCAGCTAAATGACCCGAGGTTGGTCTGGGAGCAGGGAGTGGTTTTTCCCCTCACCTTTGAAGCTTGCTGATACCATGCAGGTGCTTTGCATGTCCCATTTCCCAGTTGTCCCTAACCTTTCCTTTGCCTTTTGTTCAGAGGCAGTGTCACTGTTGCCCGGGCTGTGATCCTGCCTGTGGAAGTAGGTGTTGTACAGATGATATCATCTCCCAGCAATGTCAGGGATGCTTTGGTGTCTGTGCCTCTTTAGTTTTTATTTTTTTTCCCTAGAGCTGAGTGTTTCTTTTAGCTCAGTTGCAGTCACAGACCATAATTAAATAGGCTGCATCTGCTTGAAGTCTCAGCTACTCATTTTGCTAATGCCTGACACAGATGCTGA